TGGAGAAGGGGCCATAGTAGAGAAGCTAGTTAGGGTATATGCATGTATATCCTTAAATGCACAGAGCTATCCATCTCCTATTTGTAATGGTAAGGTGTCCCTTCCCATCATCATTGGAGTCATTATCATCAATGGCATATGATCAGAGGACACTGAGGAACTGCTGACCAAGGCTAAAGAGCAGCAGTATTCCCCGGGGGAGGTATGTGGCAGCGATGATAATGTCGCTATTGCTTGTCGATACAGTCACTGCCTGGCCAGACAAATATGGTGGGCTTGTAAAGCAAGCAGACGGTCCATAATCCAAACCAAGTGTCGGACCGTATGGTCTGCGGGCATCAGATTCCTGATGAGCTCAGACTGCTGCGTGGCCCATTTTAATGAGTTTTCTAGTCAGGAAAAAATTGTGATGGTCAGTTTGATTGCTGCGTGATCCTGAGGTGGCTATTGCGCACAGCTTCAGCGAGAGAGAGAGAGAGAGAGAGACGTGTCCACACCTGCCACACACGGTTTTTCGTGGGATCGCATTAAGCAACTTTTTGGATCCGTCCCATTACTTCCGCCGACCGATCTTGCTCCTTGTTATTGGTAGACTGCTATAGGTAAACGAAAAACTGTTTTTTGCTAGCGGCTCCTTAGCGCTGTTGCGACGATACATCTATTTCAAGGACTACGATGGGTTCAGCCTCCTTGAAAGCGTGGCTACTCCGAAGTGGAAGGGGAAATGTTTCTTATACAAAAAGCGAAGGGCTTGTTCTTGTGCTGCATAAAGTTTTCGCGAGAGCTACGAAATTGAGAGGGACGCCAAACTCATTTTGCTTCTGGATGACTTAGTACTTAAATTTGGGTTAATTGGGAGCTGGCTTTTTTTATATATTTGGATTATTTGGGAGCTTGCTTCTTTTATATATAAGATAAAACCATTCTTAAGTCATAAATATATTTGAATTTTAGGAAACCGAAAGATGATAATTAAAATTTTGATATTGGGCCTTATGGCATACACATGCTTGGGACAAGATAGTTCCCTGGACGACCTTATTGCTGATATTTTCAAAACAGACGGTTCTACCACCCCATCGACTACAGCAACATCTTCACAATCTACTGAGACTGTTAAAGAACGAACCCAATATGAGTCCTGTGGGGATCAAAAAGAATGTGTGCCTCGATGGTTATGTTCCAACGATACGATTAATACTAGTGGAGAAAATATAATTGATATTCGAATAGATACTGAAGCACCCTGCACAAAGTATTTAGAACGCTGTTGTGACCTTCCCAACAAGGTATGTTTGGGTTTTTTATTGTTGGAGTAAATTATAAAGCAAAACTAATTATTTTTATTTTATTAATATTTACACACACCAAGAGAGATACGCCAGAAATACCGGTTGGACCTATTGATCAAAATCGCGGTTGCGGATATCAGAACCCTAATGGTGTTGGCTTTAAAATAACTGGAGCATTAAATCAAGAAGCAGAATTTGCCGAATTTCCATGGATGGTCGCAATTTTAAGAGAAGAGTCTCAACTCAATTTATACGAATGTGGAGGCGCTTTAATAACACCCGAAGTAATATTGACAGCAGCCCACTGCGTACATAACAAGGATGCAAAGTCCCTTATTGGTATGGGTTTTTTAAAAAATTCAATGCATAATTATTAATTACATATTTATTTTAGTTCGAGCTGGTGAATGGGATACGCAAACTAAAGACGAAATAATTCCACATGAAGATCGTTATGTAAAGGAAATAATTTATCATGAGCAATTCAATAAGGGATCCCTTTTTAATAATATTGCATTGCTTATTTTGGAAAGCCCATTTACTTTTCAAATGAATATTCAACCGATTTGTCTACCAACTCTAGGGGAAGATTTCGAATACGAAAGGTGTTATGCCACAGGTTGGGGGAAAAATAAATTTGGCAAAGATGGGGAATATCAAGTAATACTCAAAAAAATAGATTTGCCTGTTGTTGGAAGAGCAAAGTGTCAAACTAATTTACGGGAAACACGACTTGGAAGGCATTTTATATTGCATGAGAGTTTTATATGTGCAGGAGGAGAAAAGGATAAGGATACGTGTAAGGGCGATGGTGGGTCTCCATTAGTGTGTCCGATTAAAGGTCAACCCAATCGCTTTAAGTCCGCTGGTATAGTTGCTTGGGGTATAGGTTGTGGTGAAGAAAATATACCCGGTGTTTATGCGAGTGTTGCCTTTTTAAGACCATGGATCGACCAAAAACTTGCCAGTCGACAGATTAGCTCGAAATATTTTACACCATAAGCGATATATGAAACATTTATATAGCATATTTAAAAATGTTTTACAAATTGTGCGATGACAAAATAAGCAACACAAAATAAAATAAAATAAAAAATTTCTTTTCAAATAAGAATCAAGACTCAATCTATTATATTGACAACATTTTATTCATTTACCAATTTCCTCTATCTATCTATCTATCTATTAAATCATACTATCGGGTACACCCACAAAGATCTTTGAAAATGAGTTTAAAACGTTTTCATTTAATTCATAAGAAGCGCTTTTAAAGTAAGTCAAAGGCCAATCCGATGAAACTTAAAGCTTCTCCTAAACAATCGTTGACCCGCTTTTTCCATCGATGAGTCGTGCATTTTGCAAAAAGTGCAATTAAAACGAGTAATAGGCTCTAGTCGGGACTTCCCGACTGGGGGATACCTTGAACCCTCTCCCACCTACACCAAATGCAGCTCTCGCTACGAGCCCGTTTGCTTTAGCAGTAATCAACAAAAAAAATTAAATAGAAAACAGTTCCCTCAAAACCGTCTTGCCACCGTCTCTACTCAGCAACCATTACAAGACAGGATTTCGATATCGATTTTTATCGCTTGCTTGGAAACGGGGCAAGGTATCGATTGTCGGAAACAAACTCGTATGCCCGCAAAGGCATTAAGAGGACCTACAATCTAATTTCAGATCCTTCAAATCTCTAGCTCGTACAGATTCCGAGATCCTTGCGTTCATACATGCGGACGGACGGATGGATAGACGGACATAGCTAAATCGACTCGGCTATTGATGCGGATCAAAAATATATCCACTATATTTGCACAAAAACTTGTGACGCATTCTTAATAGGTTCAAAGTATAAAAAGATTATCTTGACTGACTGAGTGATTGGTGATCAACGCACAGCCCAAGCCGAAAGAGCTAATAAGCTATCTTAGTACAAGCTATCTATCCGATAAGCTTCAAGATCATTTCAAAAGATCTTCCACTTTGTGAACCGAGATCAATGGTATTTGAGAACCTTACCCTTAACAACCCTTGACAACAGGTTTCCAGCTCTTGAAGGCTGACATAATTTAGAAAAACTTGATTGCGATAAAGATTTTTATCGATTTCATAAGAACGGGGAAAATAAACGATGATTTGAAACAAACAGAATCTGCGCGGAAATTGGTAGAACCTACTTCGGTTTTATGCTGTTTATAATTAGCAAACACAAATATATCAGATCAGAAATGCCTTATTTTGCTCTTTGCGTACTTGCGCACAAAACTACAAGGGTATTCAGAAAGCTTGCAAGAAAAAAACGGAATGTGGTCAGAAGACCATGACGTATTGTCTTAGTTAATTATACTCAAGAGAATATAGACTGTCGAATATTCATCCCGTAACAAAATTATGATAATCTCACCTAGGGTTTATAGCACTCGCATTCAACAGACATTATAGCTCAAATCGCATTTCACTGCCCTTCCGGAAGTTGCAAATTTAGCCAAGCGTACTACCTTTAGTTAAGTATATAGTGTAGTATGCGAGGGTTACACTTTTTGTTATGAGACTATTAAGTGGATGTCATTTTCTTAGAATTAGTTTATTATTAATCAAATTTGTCGGAGTATATGGTAAACTGTTCTTCTTCCGATATCAGATTATTGACATGAGGCTTGCCAACATTTTCCTTAATAACTTCTCTATTCCTAACCGATCTTGATAAAATAGTCTGCATTAGATCTTATTGTATCATAAAATATATTTGTATATCTGTATATATTGTATATAATTCTTAAAATTGTACCTTTAAATGGGCGTGTGGCACCAATTGAAACCTTTATAGCCAAATGGGTAAAAAGCGTATAATGGTTTTTTGGCAAGTGTAAGTAACAAGGAGAAGAAGGTATCCCCGACTCCATAAAGTATATGCATCTGTTCTTGGTCAGTTATAAAAGCCGACATTTGCAGTTTTCAACGTAGGTTCTCTTTGTGCGCTCGCAGTACGAGTTTGTTTCCGATAACCGATAACTTGCCCCGTTTCAATCAATAAGAAAAGCTATGGAAATCATCTTTTTTGGGCAAATCTCTTTGGGTTTAATGGCTTTAGTATATACAGATCAAGTATAATTCATTTTATAGTTACCGAAAAATTAAAAATGAATCAAAATGGGGCGAGATATCCACAAAATTCAGATGAGCAGACAAACATGACTAGACCGACTCAGCTCGTCGTCCTGATCAGAAATACATACATACATATGTATATGTTTGTAAACTATAAGATCGTGTGCTTGTTATTTTTATTATCCGTTTTCAATGGATTCAATGAAAATGTTGATCAGCAGCATTGTTACCAAGACGAATAATATTAAAGGCTACCCTCGATTTAGTTATGTACATATGTATGTAAGTAAACAATTTCATGTTTGTATATATGTAAACACACTCGGAAATTAAGTTTTTAAAACTGTTTTGTCTGGGTGTATACCTTCTGCAAATGTGCATTCATAAATACCGTATGTGTGTATGTTTTTACCAGCGCACTAAATAGAAAGAAGTCACGCGATCAGGCGCCTTCAGTCGTATAAAATATTTATGTTTTCTGGTTTTTACCTGAATTCAAGAGAGTTGAGCTGATCTACATTGTGTGTTTTCTTATAATTTACACTAGATTACAAAATCAAATATGTATGTGATATCCCAGCGACAATTACATTCAAAATTTGTATTTGTATAAATGTTCAAGAAATTCTTAGCATTAATTATTTTTACAAATTGTTTAAAACTACCAAAGGACATAGGAATATAGGACATTACCGAAGAAAGGTAATTTATATAAAAAGTAAAGAAGAGCGGGTCAAGATGACTGCAGTGGGAAAGTTTGGCGTGTCCCGGAATAGAGAATCGTTTATGTTTCTGTTACTCAGATACCTTGACATCCAGCTAATAAGTTAAACTAAAGCCGAAATTCAGCCTTTTATTCTTCAACTATCCAAAAAATTGTTGACTAGTGTTTTTGACTTACTCTTAAAAACATAAAAAACATGAAAACAAAATTGTTTGTATAAATGTTAGTGAACATTTTTTATTAAATGTGAGTTTGGTTCGCCTATAAATGCTCCATTGAAGCATTCAGGTATTCATTGCTGCTGGAGATCGTTAAACCTCAACATCAAAAGCTTAAAATAACGTAACTGAATTTAATATTTTGTTTAAGGATGACAACATGCGTAAGATTCAATACAAGTACTTAATCTTTTATGCAATATGTGTATAAAAATATTTAAATATTTCAGATTTCCTACGTAACTTCAATATTTTTAATTTTATCAATTTTTCTCGCGGAAAGAACAAGAGCTAATTCCATTCTAATGGAAAAACATGATTTAAATCATCGGAATATGACGAATACCAACTTAAAAACATTAAATACTCATTCTGGGTTTCAGGAATACGGTAAATTAGATTCCAATTTGCCGTTAAATCGCACTTACAATGAAATCCGAAAAAGGCGTACTAAAAAAAAACGTCAAGCAAAAGCGTCCAAGCACGCAAAGCGCTCACACTTTACTAAATCCTTGAATATACCAACTAAGCCTAAAAACAATTTACATACAAGTGAGGATAAAGATGTAAAGATTTACGAAACTTTCGAAGAAATCCACGAACACATTAACGAGCCTGACAGCCAAGACGGACAGTATCAAGCCTCTAAGCGCTACGAAAGTCGTGAAGAAGCAGTTGGTGGACAAGAAAACATTGAGGAAGAAAAACACGATGATCCCATTAGAATAAAAGTTAAGCATCATCATCACCATCATCATCATAACCATATTAAAGAAGTTATAAGATCCGTACCAAAGCCGTATCCCGTTGAAAAGATTGTACATATTCCAATTGAGAAAATTATTGAAAAAATTGTGCAAGTCCCAAAAATTGTGAATGTAACAGTCGAGAAAATTGTACATGTGCCTGTAGAAAAAGTAATTGAAAGGATTGTTCGAGTTGCAAGGCCAGTTCATGTTGCCAAGCCGTATGTAGTCGAAAAAATCATGGAAAAAATTGTACATGTACCCAAACCTTATCCTGTTCTAAAAACTGTTCCATATCCCGTTGAAATCAAAGTGCCAGTAACCGTTGAAAAAAAAATTGCAGTTCCCTTTACCGTTGAGGTGGAAAGAAAAGTGCCAGTTTACATTAAATCCCAAGAGCCATACAGGTATGAGCATACATATTACAAAAACCACGAAGACCAAGGTATGCCGAAATTTAGTACTGACAATGAGCAAACATTCGATCGTCCTGTTTTTTCATCAGAAAATTACTATCATAATAAACAAATTGCCTCAAAGCAAACAGATTTATCAATGAAATCACCATATCAAACTTTCAAGGAACCAATAAATCAGCATACGAATATAGAGAAAATTCCCACAAAACACGCAGATTTCGCACATTATCAAGCTTTTAAGGAACCAATAAATCAGCATACGAATATAGAGCAAATTCGCACAAAACAAGCCGATTTTGAACAATATCAAACTTTTAAGGAACCAATATATCAGCATAAGAATAATGAGCCAATGCTCTCAAAACAAGCAGATTTCGCACAATATCAAACTTTTAAGGAACCAATAAATCAGCATACGAATATAGAAGACTCAAAGACATTTGCTTCTATGGAGCAATCAACGGCAGAAAGTACATTTATTCCTTTCAAATTTCTTGAGACCAAGTCTCCATTCAATATAATTGTCGCTAATAACGACACATCATTTGATTTCAGCCCACAAGCTTTTGGCAATAAATTACATGAATTGCCAATTTCGTTTCCAATTGAGTTTATTCAGATGCAACCAATGCCTTTTCAAAATCATTTAAGCTTAGACTCATCAATGCAACAACCTTCATTCAAAAGTACATTACAAAAATAAATAACACTGATTCCGCTGTATATTTAAAAGGCACTCACTTAATTAATATCAATTTTTTTTAACAATTATATAAGCACAATATTTAAAATAGCATATCCATTCGATTTATTATAATATCATATGTTTAGTCTTAATAAGTGATGCGGTACCAAGCACAAAAATGCATTTTGTTTTCTCATGTTCATGGTAGGAAAAAATAAAAATTGCGTTAAGGCATGTACATTTTCAGTAAATATCTTTAAAATTCTATTGTTATTATATGATAGGCTGTTACTGTAGTCTACCATCTATTATCAGAGTGAGGAACGAGGGTTCATAGCTTACAATAGCTTTGGTTTAAGGTAGTCTAGTTAAGATATTTACATTATTAGGTGGTTTATGTATATGTTTATTTTGTTTAGACAAGGTTCTACTTTGTTTGGGTGGGGTTCAGCATGCTACACTAAATGCGTCGATCGACTAGGGTAGGTAGTTTTAAGCCTCCTTCTTTGAATCCTTAGCCAGGATGTTAAAGTGTTTGTGGTGCTTGATAGGTAGCTCGCTGCTTGTCCGATAACAACGGCCTATCATTGGAACCGTAAGCTCTTTTGCAATGTATTTCACCTACTTGCCCAGTTTTCGAACCGTTTGAGGTAATCCTGCGGGATGTCCGTTGCTTCATACACGCATTTGTTTTTGGCAAAGAGGTTGATCACCGTGGGACCCAACGCTACCTTGAGAGGCTACGCCATTCTGCACCACTTGAAATGCCCTCTCGGTCAGGAAGCTCGCAATGATGCTAATGAGCTGCGGTCCTTTGTTCTTTATCTTGGAGAAGAGACCTGCGTGCCACACCCGATCGAGGTTGTTGGATGTCGGGATATGCTGCCACCACATACTCCTTTCTGTGGGAGCTGTCCAAGATAAAGTTAGTGACCCGATGGAGTTGCTCCAGGGTACCACGCTTGAGTCGGAACACAAACCGGAACTTTGGGATTGATCCCCGTGTATTCAGGATCCTTTTAAGGATGCATCTTTCCAGAATCTTGCCGAAGGCAGGCAGAAGGCTGATGGGGCGCTATGATTCAAGCTGATTAGGGGGCTTTCCGCTCATGTACAGCGTAATGAATTGTTTGTTCTTCTAGACTACTGGAAAGTGACATAGCCGAAGGGCGGTATTTAAGATGGCACTGAGAAAAATCACCGCTTTGTAAGGCAGTTGCTTGGTTGTCTGGTTATCCGAACGATCTTCCCAAGGGGCTTTGTTGTTTTCCCTCCTCCAGAATGGTGTCAGTCGCTTTTGTTTTCAAAACCGTCAACTTCTTCTTGACCCTGTTGGCGATACGTCAATAGATCCTGTCCTGTGGTCCTGGGTACGGACGTACTCCTTGATCAGTCGCTTTTTCAGGAAAAGAAGGCCTTTAACGATAGGGGAAGCGGCGGTGTGTGTTGTAGGCGTACATTTGTGCTGGCAGCGTCGGCATGTACTTGGTCCAACAGGGTTTAAACTGCAACGTCGGCATCCTCGGCTGTCAAGATCTGAATGCTTAGATAAATCATGCTAGCCTTAGGTCAGCCTTAAAACGTTGTATTTCCGACTGCGCTTTCTTGGGATCCTTCGAGCAGGCGAAGAGACGGATGCAGGGAGTGAAGGATGGTCGGATGAGAGGTCATATTTTTCACGATGGGGTAGTTTGCCAATTGTACGGTAAGTGGGTCCGGTGGCCAGGACTTGGGCTGAGCAGCTGGTGAGTGCTTTGTGCAGCGCAATGCCTCTGCTGTAAGCTCGGTAGCTTAACCACAAACACAGGCGTGTTTTGCATTGAAGACAATAAACAATGAATCCAGCTTGATTCCAGGGAAATTTTGGTGGTAGATAAGCTGCAGCTACAGGTATACTTGTGAGCTTGCGAATAATGGCTCTGTGAGGGTCTGAATCTTTTACGTAGATCCTCACGGCCGGGAAAGACACCTTGAGCTCGTAGACATCTGGGTCAAGTGCCTGGTCGAAGTGTTATGGGCCATGGCTTGTGGACCTTCATCGGAACATTAGGTTGAGCTGGAGGCAGCCGAGCTTCATCGGCAGTTTCCATATCGTCGTCTTCGATGACAGGGGCGTCCACCAGGGGCGCAAGTGGAACATATCTTTTGCCATTTGTCGAGGAGGCGCTGGGAGTAGTGGATCTTTCACCAGCAATGATGGATTTCGGATTTTTTGTGATGCTTTTCCTTTCTTCGACCAATAGTGTTGTCCCTCTCCGTTTTTAAGAGTTAACCTTTAGATAACTGACCAGCGGTTCCTGAAGGCTGGCTGGCGTATTGCATTCGCTTCTTAAGGGGTGCAGAGCAGGGTTCTGGATGCTATGCCGGGGAAGAGCTCTGAGCACAGGCACACGCGACAGATTTGCAAACGTCCGATCGCCAGCCATCAACAACATCCGACTCGCGTATGCTATTTTATTCAGCCTAGGGTTGGCCGCCCTCAACCGGCGGCAAACCTCCCTCAAATTCTCGTCGTGTTGTTCTCCTGTCGCTCCTATCATGACGATACTGTCTAGGTAGGCGCTCGCTGGAAGGTCAAAATTTTCAATGTCGTCCAACTAGCATCACCCGCCATTAGAATGCATTCCCAATCTAGGGTAGCGATGAATCGGGCAAGTTGCAACCGCTCAAGTATGTGATTGATCCGGAAGCCTATGCACATGCGCCCTTTCTCAATTTTTTTTCTTGACTAAGATGATTGGCGCGCTGTGTGGACTACGCGACGGCGCGATGACACCTGTCAGGATCAGCTCATCTACCTGCCTCTATCACCCTCTGCATGGCCGGATTCTTCGGGTAGTATCTTTGCTTCAATGGCTTGTCATCCTTCATGCTCCACGATATGCGAAGCATACCCTGAAGACCCTTGAAGAGTACCAGTTCCGACCGCAGGAGCTCCCTCAGCTCCGGATGTAGATGGCTGCTCTTCCTCCTCGATGGGGGTTCACCCCGCGTCTCACCTCCCCTAGTCTTCAAGAAAAAAAAGACAATTTGGCAAATAAATTTTCCCCACATTGGGAAAGGTCGTCCACCTAATCCATGTTATCGACTGGCTTCAGCTTTTTCTTCCAAACGAAACTCATAATTGTATCAATTAAACAGCTGCCAACTCGTTATAAATCAGCGCACCCGGACATAATGAATTCTATGACATCACTTGTGGCCATGTCTGCCTACTACGCTGCACATTCCAACAGTACCGCAATGTACTTTCGTCCCTCAAAATTTTACACGCCTTCAACTGCTTGCCTATATCCTCTGTTGTCACTTCCTGCTCGAATACTTTGAGCATTTTGCAACGGACGTCCATCCAGGACGCGATGCGCTATGTTGTGAAATACTCTCAGCCGTCAATGTTGTCCGTACGTTTCTCGAAATGGTGCCAGTATAGTTGTCTCTTTCTCTTTTTCTTTTTTTTTTAATTTGAATTTGATAGTTACTTGAGTCAATTATTTATTTTTTACAATTTATATACTCGATATATTATTATAAAATATATTCCCTATTTTATTTGTGTATGTTTATCTAGTGTTTTTTATTTGCCTTTTGGATATAAATTTTATGTGCGGCTGGAAGCTTGTGCTATGCAACAAATGTTACTATTATTTTTATTTTAATCCTTAAAATTTTAAAACTTTGCCGGTTGCGTCCCATTTATTTTATGGTCTGTTTAAGGATTAGTGAATTTAATAATTATTAACTTATACATAGAGCTATACCTTGAATATTAAGATCTCATCTGTTAAACAGAATGCTGGAATGGAACGGTTTAAGTGATCACCTTTAATAAAAGAATTTAATTCAATTGTGTAATTTAGCTCTTATACCACCAAACACATCTGCTTAGGATGTGTTAACCAATAGAAACAGTGGCATCCCCCTATTAGAATATTTAATTTAGTATTTTTTATGAAGTATTTTTTAGGTTCTTTCTAACGGCCCTACTAATCCATTATGGTGTTTTTTTTATGTCCACACAACGAATTCAATTGTGATATTTGGGAAAATATTGCCTTTGAAAATTATGGAATCTATTGAGCAGTATGACGCCAATCGCGACGAATTAATCATACAACAGCAGCGAGAAATAGAAAAAGAGGTAAGGACAGCAGTGTCTCTCAATGTTTAATGTACAACTCAATTGGTTTTAGATCAGCGATACAACTCCTCTTGTGAGTGAGCAACTGCCGCTGACTTGTTTACAGGAGGAATATAATGGCGACGAAATCTTTACCGATAAGATTCAAGAGTTATCTAAAAAATACAAATTTATTCGACGGACTCGTCCCGATGGAAATTGTTTTTTCAGAGCATTTGCTTATTCATATTTAGAGTATTTGATCACCAACTACAGTGCTTACCAAGAATTTCAAAAGCTTGCCGAAGCTTCTAAGGACAAGCTTGTACAACTTGGCTTCCCCAGTTTTACATTGGAAGACTTTCATGAAACAGTAAGTGAATTTTGTGCTATACAATATAATAATAGTCATTATTTTTGCATGTTGTTTTTTCATACCAGTTCATGGATGTTATAAGGCGCGTTTGTCCAAAGGATTGTGAAACAACAGGAAAAGTTAAGGCTGAACTGCATACAGTATTTAACGATCAGGGATATTCCGATTATGTAGTTGTCTATTTGCGTCTTATAACATCAGGCAAACTGCAGGAAGATGCAGACTTTTATCAACATTTTATAGAGGGCGACTTCTCCATTGAAGAGTTTCGTCATCAAGAAGTCGAGCCCATGTACAAGGAATCAGACCACATACATATCATCGCACTCTGCACAGCGCTGGGAGTAGGTGTGCGAGTTGAGTACCTGGACAGGGGTGAAGGTGATCAGGTTAAAGCGCATGATTTTCCTGAAGGATCAGAGCCGAAAGTTTATCTTATCTATAGACCAGGGCATTATGATATATTATATCCAAACTGAAGTTGACAGTGTATAAATTTTCCCAATGCAAATACATATGTGTACGACTGTAAGCATATATAGTCCATAACACTGCTTTAGACTTTAGTCAATTAAGAAATATAATATAACCTAACTTCACATGAACTATTCTTACTATTGGTTCTGACTGAGATTCTGTTTTATAAGGTGTCCCAGGCGAATACCCAAATCGCCTTGTTATTTATAATAATGTTGCGAGGAAGAAAGTCAGCCGCCAACCTGCCTTCAGAGATTCCGTTCGCCGTGGCTCTGTGTTCT